TAATACACTGAATTTTAGAACAAATCTTGCATTATTTACAGCAGCAGAATACCACAGAAATATCAGACGAAACATGAAAACACTATATATTGTATTTTGGCATGAACCCTCTCTATTGCAATTGCAGGGATTACCCCCATATGTGCAACCATTTTCCACCTTCGTATCACCCAACCCTGAAAACAAATTCTTAATACCTCGCTGAAGCGTTTGGTAATTACTTATTTCCTTCACATTTGATGTGTACATGATTTGGGGCAACCATGCGTAAAAGTGTCCAACAATATAATGCTAAGGATAGCGTGGTACAGAATGTTTTATTCGTTTGTAAATAAGTGGAGGATAATATGGCGGTCACATGACCTCATTAGTATGCATACAAGTTATTGCAGGGAAACCATTTTAGATACAGGTATGGTACGAGATGAATAACATAAAATTTCATCACAGGAGGGAGATGGGTGTGTTCCTAGCAACTAAGCCAACACCCATAGCAACCTGACTGAATGGAGTACTTTTTAAAAAACTGGCGCCAAGTCGTGCAGTACTCATAGATCAAGCAGCAGTACAAAACTACAAGAAAATGTTTTGGTAGTGGAAGACCTTGTTGTTTTGGAAATTCCACCTGAATCAAACACTTCAAGTACTGAGAGGCGATGGAACAGTGTTATCAACACAGTGACTGAATATATGGTTGATGTGCCCGACGTTATCGTCTGCATATTTCAGTCTCTGGGCTGAATTTGTGACATACATACTCTAGTGTGGTATATAATGTACACATAGTTTAACGAACTATCGCTGAACTAGCTGACAGGTGCGTACAGAATAATGTCTACATTTAGATATTCGATTGTGAGGAATCGTAAACTTTGTGGCCAGACACGACACCTAACTATGTTGTTTGGAATGTAATTCAATGTTGGCAGCATGCAAAAGGCAGCTGAAAAAAACAGGGTAGACTTTACTGGAGTGCAAAGTCTCTGCATTAATCTATGCTCCTTTATTTAATTCTCTCAACCTTTAGCATATTGGTCAGAATACACGCCCAAAATAGAACTGTATCACAGACCGGTAATCATTACCACACAGACAAAATGACGGGATACACTGCTCGATTGATTGTCTTGGTGGTCAGCAGTGTTTTTATTTCTTGTGCATCTGCATCAATGAAATGCCGCGATAATCGCGACCATTCACTCCGGTGGAACCTCTCAAATTTTGCTCTAAGTTTTCTAACACCGGTTGCTGTACTAACGAAGAAGATGACGTGATTCGAGGCGAGTTTAAAGCCATCAAAGCGGAGACCGCATCTGATGCTTGTAGTGATTTCATCCACGATATTCTGTGCCAGAGATGCTCTCCTGTCACATCTAGTCTCTTTAGCAATGATGAGAAAAGCCTAGTGCCCTTACCAGGTTTGTGTGCGAGTCAGTGCAACGATTTCTACACAAAGTGTAAAGACGCAATCCCACATTTGACCAGTGACGAAGCTATACTCGCTTCTTTGGAAACGGAGAAATTGTTTTGTGATGAAGTTCAACGCACTGGTACAGAATACTGTTACCCAGAAATGATGGATACCTTAGACACCAAGCCAGAACCGGTTAAAACTAACTTCGATAACTGCCTTTGTTTGCAAGAAAAGGCGGCCGGACTGTTTAATCCTGTTGTGCTAGTGTCGGCCTTTGATGGATCTGGTAGACTGTTCATTGGTCAACAAACTGGCGTGGTCTTAGTAATGGTCCCCGGACAAAGTGAACCCACAGTATTTCTGGATATTCAAGATCAGGTTAAGACTGGCACCCTACCGGGGGATGAGCGGGGTTTTCTGAGTATGGCATTCCATCCAGAGTATGAAAGCAATGGGAAGTTTTACATTTATTATACATCCGATCCTGGAACGTTGGTCCTGCGCATAAGTGAAATGTTAGTTAGCGCTGATCCGAACAAAGCAGATCCAACTACAGAGAGACTTCTGTTACAAATAGATGAACCAGCTAATAATCACAACGGTGGCCAGCTGCTCTTTGGTCTCGACAAATACTTATATGTATTCATCGGCGATGGAGGTGGTTCTGGTGATCCGGATTACAATGGTCAGAATAAGTGAGTACAACACACCTACACGTATTATACTTTGTGACAATAATTTCTTGAAGATGAAATGACATCTTACATGAGATTGCACATGCACAGTATTTTTTTCATGATCCAGTTAATGTTATTTAATGTTATTAGCACAAAAACATGATGAATATGGCATGCATATATGTGTTGAGTAAATGATTCACTGCATGTTACTGTACGTGTGAATATGGCAAAGTATGTATATTCTGAAAGCCTGGATATAGGAAAACACGTTTTATTACAGAGTATATACTTGTTGTGTTATTATACAGGATCATATAGAAACATTATAATGAAAGCCGGGACATGATTTATTAGTGGAAGTGGAAGTATCACTGATAACAATAGTGAACCAACAATTATATAATGTGTATAACATAAAAATGTAACTTGCATCTAACCATTGTATAATAGATTCTCAGTGACAGAATATTAAGTCTACATCTATATGCATCACTGATATAGACTAACGACAATACCTTGACAAAACCAACTTGAAGACAATCCTCTCGTATATACAATTGTAATACAAATTTCAAGGTGTGCCAATATCACGCTTCGCATATTT